TTTATTATTGCTTGGACAAAATGCTGCACATTTCTTTGTGAAATTGAAATATAATACTATAATAATATACTAATATAGCACTTGCATATCATTGCTCTTTTGTTGGTTTTGATTGCTTCTGTTGTCCTCATTTGTAAGTCGCTTTGGATAAAAGATATAAATTATATATAAATATAATGTAAATGTAAATAACAAAACTACATTGAAATTTTAAAACAAGCCCCAAATCAAATAAATAAGTAACACAAATAAAAGAAATCTCTTCATATAAAGAAACTCAGGCTTTGTCTGTGCTCTTAACATTTAAAATTAGAAGCAACCGCTGCATTTTAATCACGATCCAAACAAAGATGCTGCAGACATGCCACACGAGCAGTTTTTAATCTAAATTAGATTGTATAATTTTGAAATTTGAAGCAAAAACAGAATGGTTTGACTTCAGTTTTGTGAAACTATGCATAAAAAATATCTGCATGAAACAGCGGAGCTGAATAAGACGCAGATTCACTCTCTGCCAGCAGGTGGCGCTTAAAGCGTTTCCGTTGTAAACAAAGCAGCGCTGCACTTAAGAACTTTAATGTGCATTATACAGAGGCAAGATGAAAAGAAAAAATACCATCTACACTTTTCTAAAGACAGTAAGTTCCCCTCAGACATGCATTCATATAAACTCCTACCCCTAAATTAATCGCGATTTGTTTAGCATCTCAACCGATTTGAATCGTCACGCATTTGAATACATTTTCAACCGGCTCGCGGTTAATCGTTACATCGCTATTTATCACCATATTTTCTGGTATTTATTGTGATTACGATTGTGATTCATATGCATGCACTGAGTGACAAAAAAATCTCCTGTATTATCTTTTCTATTTTTACCAAAAATAGGGTGTTGTTAGCACACATTTAATGTAATGTCTGTAACGCAACGCCCTCGCACAGAAACTCCACATGTGTGTCACAGGTAATAGAACTGATGATGCTCCAGGAAATCACTAACACGGACAAACACATGCAGCTATCACTGTGACTGAATAAAAAGAAGATAGAAACGCTTTAACTGATGAAACATGAAGACAATAAACGCACAGTTGTGACAATAGATGGATTATCTGTGTTCTTCAAGCCATCTTGGGTATTCTTACAAGAATTAAGTATATTTATAATGCAATGCTAATCGACACAGCCTTTATCACTGTATAGAATAGTATAAAATAGTATGATTTCTGCCTCATTCCATGATGTGAAACCACGTTTAGTCACAAAAGAAGTTATTTCAAACACTCAAAGTGACTTTGGAGTAAAAGTATGTCAGTAAAACTCTTTGTTGGACAACAGGTTTGTAAGCAGGCTTATACACATGCAGAACTGTATAGCACACATGCTACTGTATATTTATTCATTGCACAGAACGATTTTTTTGTCGCACAGTACAGCATTCATAGCTTTGAATGTTACCATGTTATTACCACATTATTACTGCATTTACCCCTTTTATAAATTAAAAATTGAGAAATGATACATTATAAAATGTATATATATAATTGAGAAATATATATATTGATGAGAAATTTAAATTTATAAGAACATATAATCTGAGAATTAGCAGTATTAAACCCAGTGGATTTAATTAACTTATGATTGCTCAAAAACAGTGCAAATAGTTATTTCTAACAAAAGAACATCAAAACAACTTAAATATTACTCTGAACATTTTTCAATCAAAATAAATTAATTTACCTTGCATAAACTTGAAAAAGTGATCAGATTTTATGCTGCAGTGGTTCGATTATAGACGTACATATTCATGTTCATCAACAAACTTCAGTCCCAAAAGTGTGTGAGATATGGGGAAAAACCAAAATATATTTTACAGAAGTTTTTGACACTAATATCACTCCATAGATCTTAGAGAGAGAGAGTGTGTGTGTGTGTGTGTGTGTGAGAGAGAGA